TATTTCAAATTAGTGAAAGGATTTCGTGTTCATCAAGGGGCAGGTCGGGCAGCAGCCAGCAATGTCCGCGCCCAGCCGCCCCGCGCAGCCTGCGCCCAGCGATCTCTGACCTCCGTGCTTAGACTACGGTGCTGTCCAGGGAAGAATAACACAGGCCACACGGGAAATTCTGCTGTCTAGTCACCGTATTTAAAAAATATAAGAGACAGTGGAGTGATTTTAATAATTATTTAAGCAGGTGTATGCTAGTATGTGGCCATTTCAGCGTGTCATCAGCTTAAAAACTACGAATGTGCTTGTTTGCTCCCCCCCCCCATTAAGGCTGAACTGGCGTGTTGTAGCGCACGTCTGAGCCTGGGCTAGCTTCACGTCGCATGCTCAGAAGCCTCACAAGGCTGGTAGTTACGGTATTGGATGGTGCGGTTTCTGTTTGTCGATATTTAAATTCACTTACATCATACATGAATATATGCGCCTTATGTAGTGATTTTTCCTCCCGGCTTTCTCGATGAGATTATTGACTTACATGTACATTTTACATGTGCAATGTGCTGATTTGATACATGTATATATCGTGAAACCATTACTACAGTGAGGTTAACACCTCCACTTCCTCACATAATGGTTTTATCATTACTTTGTGCGTGTGCGGTGAGGATATTTAAGGTCTGCTCCCAACCACTCTTAAGTGTGCACTACAGTATTGTAACCGTTGGCACCAGGCTGTCCATCATCCTCAGAACTTGGCCCCTCAGACCAGCCCCCCACTGTTCTACTCTGTTTGAATTCAGCCTCTTCATAGTCCACATATAAGTGAGATCCTTTCTGTTTTTTGACTTCCCTTACTCAGGTTAGGGACCTCAAGGTCTAGCCACGTTGTCACAAGAGGCCAGACACCCTTTTTCATGGCTGAATGGTACTCCATTTTATTCACCATGTCTCTGTGTTTCATCCACCCAGGGCACTTAGGTTGTTTCCAGGTTGTGGCTACTGGGAAGAAGGACACAGTGACCCCAGGGGGGCAGATATTTCTTCAAGACAGATATTTTATTATCATAGGATATGTTTAATTCTTCTTAAAGGCGAAATTCCGACAAGGGTAAGGGGTCAGCGTTTCTTGTGATTTTTATGACTCATGTGTTTTGTCTCCAGGTTATCAGACTTAACCTGAACTTCCTGCTTGTTTCCTGCCACCGAGAAGTTTGCAGGCAACTCAGCAAAGTCCAGTTGGTCTCTGGTCAGGCTCTCCCTTACTTTGCTTAGCTTAAAGAGTCATTTGTGTTGTTGTTTGGATTAGCACAAGGTAGGCAGCAGTCCAGGCAGCAGGCCCTGGGGGCGGGGGCCGGCACCTGCCCCCTGTGCCGGGAGCCTCTGAATGAGTGAGCACGAGGTCAGCCTCCACGCGGGAACACCAAGATGCAGTGAGTGTACAGGTGTTCCTCTTGTGGAAGGAAAGGTTTATACCAGAAACTCACAGGACTTACACCAGAAACTTAACCATGGCTGTGGTTTTGTCATATATGATGATTGGGACTGTGCTCAGGAGAGGGAGGCAGTAACGCTTTGCTGGTTACACGCGCGCACACACACACACACACACACATGCACACACACACAGTGTTGGTACCTTGAAGTGTGCAGGGGTTAGAGGCACCCTCAGCCAAAAATCCGTATAAACTTTTCACTCCTCCCAGTGTTAACCACCATGTCCCCTGTATCTGTGATGAACTGATTTAGAATCTCCTCCATCCCCACCACAGGTCCCAAAATCTGTGGTTGCTCAGGCCCCTTAGAGTGGACATCCGGGGTTGGTTGAAATGAGGGTAGAACCCACGGGTAGGATACAAGTCGGAGTAAAGTCGGAGGCTCAAGAGCCTCCCGGTAAATACAGATGCTTCTTTATGTACACAAGCACTCGAGCGGGGCTCAGTTCAGGGTGCACCCCGCCCGTCCTACTTGAGTGGGGCTCAGTTCAGGGTGCACCCCGCCCGTTGTACTTGCATCTGCGTCCCCCTCTAGAGTCTCCAGGAGAGACCAAATGGAGAACTCGGTGAAGCCCTAGAGCCTGGAGAGAGGCGAAGCAGCCGGGGATTAATGCAGCAAAAGGATCAGGCTGCGGGGAGAACGCCAGACACCCGCGCTTGTAGGGAGGGCCTGGTGGGGCTCCCAGGGTGCTTGCTGGGAGCGCTGGGGTCCGGGCAGGCCGGAGCAGGCCGCCCACCCCCCACACTGGCTGTGTGCGACAGGCAGCTGCTTCCTGCTGACTCGGGATCTGACTCTGCTCTGACTCCTGTCCGTCTCTCACTGAGGTACTCTGTGTGGCCTCTTGGGCATGAGGGGTCCTGGCTTAGCCTGGGCAAGGACTATTGTGGGCCCCGTCTGCCTTTTGGGGGGGCAGCAGTGAGGTCTGTCTCCCCTGTACCCCTTGTACCCCCATTCTGATTTCACCTGTAGCTCAGGTTAGCTGGGGCCGTCACTCAGCCTGAGCGGGCGGGGGCGTCCCTCCCTGCCAGCCTGGTGTCACCTTCTCCCACCCTCACCGCCTCCGCCCCACCACCGCTGCTCTGGCCTCGTGCTGTATCAGACAGGGCAGCCTTCGGCCTTCCCCAGCCTCTCTCTGGCCTGTGTCGGAAACGAGCGCCCCATGCTGCTCTGTAAACAGGGCCGGCAGCCAGATGCCCGGCAGGCCCCTGACCTAACAGCAGCCGCCCAGCAGCATCCTTTTCTCAGCTTCCCCTTGCTACCCCTTGGCCCGGTAGGTGCCAAGCAAGTTTCCTAAGGCCCCTCTCCTGCCCTCCACCCCCAGGGTGAGAGAGATTGGCTGTTTTTCTGAAGGCTGAGAGGACTGGAGGCCGACCTGGGCATTCCCACCCTTTGTTGCCTGCATTCGTTTCATTTATTCTCTTCCTCTCCACCCTCCTTCTTTCATTTTTCAAGTGGCCTCTTCTGCCACTTATTTATACATATGAGAACTGGGGTGTAGGTCAGAGGTGTGGAGTGGTGAGAGGATTCCCCAGAGACAGAGTGGGGAGCAGAACAGGCAGAGGTACTGAAGTACACTGCTGAGGGAGCAGCGGGGAGACAGGAGAGGTCTGCTGCACCATGAGGGTCAGCGCCCAGGCCGGGGACTGATCTCAGGCCATAGCGGTAGGTAATAGTGCTGAGGCTCAAGACCTAGGTCACCAGGGAGGCCCCTCAGGTGCTTTCTTTAGTGAAATGATGCCCATCACATTCTCTTCTTGGACCTTCTGCATGACCTTGGAGTTTGTGTAGGGCCTGAGACGCCAGGTTCCTTGCAGTCACCTGCGGGGCTCATATACCTGATGGTGGGGAGGCTTCTGGAAACAGGAACACCAGAGTGGGGAGCACATGGCCCAGCAGTGAAAAGTGATGCAGGGAGAGCAGAGGATTCATCACAAACAGCTTCCCCCAGCTGGTCACGGCTCTGAAGCTGGAAAGCTGATTCTGTGCTGGCAGATGTTCTGAATTTTTCTTTTTTCTTTTTTTTTTTAGTAGAGAAACCAGAAATCCAAATTATCATATGGAGTTCCTGGTTTTAAATGTTGGCAGCTAGTCTAATTTTTTAAAAAAAGTGTGCTTTAAGATAATGGTAACAGTGAATTGTGGATCAGACTGGCCAGGGGAGGCCCCGGTGTTAGACCTTTACCTTTATGGACCTAGTCATGGGGGAGATAGAAACTGACCCGAGACGGGCAGTAACTTCTTAAAGTTGTGAGACTGATCAGCAGTGTGATCAGGACTTGAATTAAGTTCTCCGTTAATAGACATCTACCAGCCAGAACACCTGGGCGGTTTGTGTTCCTGTCCTTTGAGCTATTTGCTTATCTCTTTAAAAAATACAAATGAGGGCCTTCTCTAGTGGCCCCAGGGGTTCAGCCTCACACTGTGAAGCTTTGGGCAGCCACTGCAGATTGAGCCCAATTCCGGCCAGGGAGTGACCCATGGGGCGCAGCAGACCTCCCCTTTCTCCTCTCTCCTCCCCTCAGCTGTGTATTTCAGTCCATCTGCCTGTTCTGCTCCCTGCTTTGTCTCTTGAATCCTCTCCACCCCCTGCACCTCTGGCTTGTACCCCAGTTCTGTATGAATAAATAAATAAATCATTTTTTAAAAAAAAGGTTTAGAAAAATCCAAATGAAACGAAACCAAATTTGTTTCCAAAACTGGGCTGCGTAGTAGTTAAATGCAGGGACCCCAGAACCAATTGCCCGAGTATGAGTTTGCTGTAGCTCAGGCCCCTTAGAGTGGACAGCCAACATACCACAGCTGTGTAGTACCGGACAAGTCGTTGAACTTCTCTGCGTCTCAGTGTTCCTACCTGACAAAGGAATGATAGAGTCCTTATGGAATTAAAGGAGACACTGGTTGGGAGTGACCAGATGCGGAGATTTACTGAGGGACCGGGTAAGGGCAGTAATAAACCTGGCCTTGCATCCAAAGGTGATAAGGCGGTAATAAATTGGGGGCCTTGCATCCAATTAACGGGGTCTTGCATCGGAGATGGGACTAGATGAAGGTGATAACGAACTGGACCAGACATCAAGGGATGTAGCGATTAATCACCTCTTTGGAATTCAAGTTTTAAACCTGTATAAGAGACCCTTCCCCCCTATAAGGGCGGCAGTAGCTGCGGACCCTACCCTTGGGCTCTGTCTCAGCTGCTGTCCGAGAGCAATAAATTGTTTGCTCAGCCTCTCTGCCTTTGGTCTGTCTTTTCTGCGGCCGGTCACAGAATTTGGGACAAAACAACACTACGCACCCAGCACTCTCTAAGTGACCCTCTAGGGACTCTCTAAGGGACCTCGCTCACAGAGCTGCCGTTTAGGTGTTACCCTGATGCCCTGGCAGTGCGGGTGATGGTGGCAGTTGCGGGTATGGCTGGTGCTGGCGGGCATGGTCGTGTTGGTCGTGAGGGCGATGGCGAAGATGGCAGTGATGGTGATGGTGGTTGATGTGGCAGAGGAGCTGTGAGCATCATTGTGATGGACGTTGTGCTGGTAGTGGTGGCATGCTTTGGGGATGACGGCATGGTGGTGAAGAGGCTGAGAAAGTCCTCCGTTCCCGAGGCAGAATGCCACGTGTCAGTCACCGTGGCACTCTTGGGCTACAGCAGCGTGCCCCCCAGGACTCCTTTGGAGCGGCGTCTCCAGCTTTTGTCCGATGGTGGAACCTGCCACCGCTTTCCGGGCCTCGTCTGTCGGGTGGGACGGGCCCGCCCTTCAGTTCTTGCTTTAGTCTTCCTGGCGCCTGGCCGCCCCGGCTCACCTGGTCTGCTGGAGGCCCTCGGCGCGGTGGGCTCGGCTGTGGCCTGAGCCCGCTGGCAGCCCTGGCCCTCGCTCGAGCGGCGCCCAGTGACCGGTCCTTGCTTGTGTCCGTAGGAGCGGGGCCTCTCGTGGAACACCAGCAACCCTGACTTCACCAAGTGCTTTCAGAACACCGTCCTGGTGTGGGTGCCTTGCTTTTACCTCTGGGCCTGCTTCCCCTTCTACTTCCTCTACCTTTCCCGCCATGACCGGGGCTACATTCAGATGACGCATCTCAACAAAGCCAAAACTGTAAGTCGCTTGGGGTTTCTGGGCTGGGGGTGCCCCCGGGTGGGAAGCCATGGGTGGTGGAAACAGGCAGCTTTCTTCGTCTTAACCGCCCTGCGCGCCTTTATGTGGGAGACCGTGTAACAAGGTGGTGGCTGGAGGCGGGGGCCCTGGGGCCTGATGTGGGCTCAGACACCCTGAGCCTCTTCTAGCTCCGACCCTGGGTGACTCTCCTGCCCTCCCCCAGGGCCCTGTCAGTGCGTGGAGACTATAGGCTTGGTCTCCAGGGATTATCAGGACTCCACCGGGACATCTTCCTCCCCACCAAAGATATTCCTCTTTCCTATTCAAGTTCTTTTTTCTTTTTTTTTTTAACTTAAAAAATACTTTTATCTTGAAATAATTGCAAACTATAGAAAAGTTGGAAAAGTACTGGAATGTCCCCCCCAGCTGGTATACCCATAACTCATATCACCAGTTTTTAACGTTTGGCCACGTTTTATTACTGGCTTTTGCTCTCTCTCCATGTTATTTTCTCAGAATTGCAGCGTCTCAGCGGCACCCAGCACACCCCTCCACCATCCGTTCCCCCAGCATAATCTTTCTTGGGCCTGGGGTAACCCCTCCCATGTCCTCAGCACAGTGAATACACTGAGGACTTGAAGCACGGACACGATCCTCAGAAGCCCGCCTGCCCGTATTCCAGTTTTGTCCATTGTCCATTGCTGTCCTTTCTGGCATTTCCCTCCCGTTCAGGATCCAGGTCATGCTGTCTCCTTTGTTTTTCTTTTTTAGAAAGATGTGTTTATGTGTAGAAGAACTGGGGTGCAGGTCAGAGGTGCAGGGAGGGGGTGAGAGGATTCCCCAGAGACAGAGTGAGGAGCAGAACAGGTGGATCTACCAAAACACTGCTGAGGGGAGCAATGGGGAGACAGGAGAGGTCTGCTGCGCCCTTTGGGTCACTCCCTGGCCAGAGGGTAGAGGTGATAGCCTGAGACTTAGCCCCGGGGCACCAGCAGGCCTCCTTCCTTTCCTTTAACCTGAGAGAGCTAATGCTTCATCTCCTGTGTTGGGGAGCCTGGGGGCCACTTTACAGTGAGCTCCTGGCCTGTGGCCGAAGCCTGTCTGGCTGAGAAGGGCAAAGCCATGCTGTATCTTCAGACCCAACATCTGGGGTCACGTGGTGTCCAGCTTTCCCGGGAGCAGCTGCTCGCAGCAGCCGGGGCAGGTGCGGAGGGTGCGGCCCGCAGGCCGCCTTTGTTTTTTTACAGCTGCTCAAGATTTATTTTGATAAACCCTCGAGGAGTAGGAAGGTCATGCCGGTAATATCCCTCTGTCCAGCAGCGTGGCCTGTCTCCAGAGTCATCCACTTGCTCCGTAACCAGGTCAGGTGTCTCCCCCCTAGACTCTGGGAGCGTTTTAACTCAGGGAACTGCATCGCTCTGTAAATCAGGGCCGCCCTGGGGAGACCAGGGGTTAAGTCTCAGCCCTGGGAATTAGCAGCCACTGAAGGGGGGGTTGGGTGCTGACCCTCCTGTCTCCCTCCCGCCCCTCAGCAGTGGATTTCTGTCAGCCCACCAGTTCTGCTCCCCACTCTGTCTCTGGGGAAGCCTCCTCTCACCCTGTGCACCGCTGGCCTGCACCCCAGTTCTTGTATACAAAATAAATTTAAAAAATGTAAATCAGACTTTCTTCTTAGATCTTGTTCAGGATGCCTCGGATAACTTCTCAAGGCGGGAGATGCCATCGGGAAGTGGCAGTGGTTCCCCAGAGCTGGCTCTGAGCTCCTGCTGGCTCTCAGGGGCACTGTGCACTCCCATTCCACAGGCGCCTCAGCCCCCCCCCCCCCCACTGATTTCTGCCTCAGGGCCTTTGCCGGTGCTTGCCCTCCGCCTGAATTAGTCTTTCCCTAAGTACTCACTCTCATTCTGGCCTGAGCCCTCACCTGATGGAAGAGACGTCCCTGGCTGGCTACCCCATTTGATTTACCCTCACCTCACTTACTACTCCGGCATTTTATTCTGTATCTTTACCTTGTTTCCGGCCTCTAGAATCAGCTCCACAGAGGCCGGGGCTTGGGTCTGCCACACCCTCAGCCCCTTGAAAAGCACGTGGTCACAGCAGGCCCCAGTACGCAGTGGCCGACCCCCATGCAGGGGCAGGGGCACCTTCGGAGATGCAGGGCGCTAGGGCTTGTCCCTGGGGCGTCATAGCGGGAACTTACACAGGCCCAGGGGGCTCAGCCCCTGCGCACCTGGCTCCGGGCTCAGCCTCTGCGGCCCGCAGCACCCGCCTCCGCCTGTGGATGTGTAGGCAGGGCTCGACTTCCCAGGGGTGGGGAGAAGTGACCCGATAACCTGGCACAGGCCGGGGTGTGCTGCCCAGATGGCGCTCACCCTGCCGATCCAGGACTTGTCCTTGTTCCAGAGGACCCGTGCTGGGTGCTGGGACCACACGGGCGGGTGAGGGGTTGGCGGGCCGCCTTCAGGCTGAGCTCCTTTGCGGGGGGGCCAGCCTGTCGCAGCTCTGTCCGTGGTGAGACATGTCTGTGCTTCTCTTGCAGGCCTTGGGGCTCCTGCTGTGGCTCGTCTGCTGGGCAGACCTCTTCTATTCTTTCTGGGAAAGAAGTAGGGGCTTGTTCCCCGCCCCGGTGTTTCTGGTCAGCCCGACCCTCTTGGGCGTCACCATGGTGAGTGGCCGATGGCTGTGAACCCCCACTGTCCCGAGCACCGTGGAGACCTGTTGCCGATAACTGCCGCAGCCCCCTCAGCCCAGAAAGCCCCCTGGGGCTGCTCCCCTGCCAGTGGCCGGCCCACCCTCCCTGCCCCGCTGCTGTGGTTCTGCCCTGGCGCTTTGCCTTTTGCAGACCTCTCCCGAGTGGGCCTCACTCCTGATTTCCACACCTGGAAGTGCAGGCTCGCGCTCTGGCAGCTCTGCTGGGCCAAGCCGCTGGGCCTGCTGGGTTAGCTGCTAGGTGTGTTTGGCCGTTTGGTTTCGCCGTGCTCCGTATCCATCCTCCAGCTGCAGGACTCTGGGCTTGGGAAACCAATCAGCTTTAAATACAGCTGTCCAACAAATTCATGTGAAAAGGGGTGTGTCCCTCTAGGAAGATCTGGGGGGGGGGGGCGGTGGGGCGTGAATTGGGCTGACAGCATGACCACCAGAGACTTCCTTAGCTCTTCCCAGACGTGACTCCCAGAGGTGACTGAGCCCCGGACTGCTTAGTGCCCCGTGGTTTGCCGCCTTCACTTGTGAATTGGTGGTACAATGACATTACAGTGTCACTGGTTCCCAGAGGAAACCATCATTGTTGGGGTTGGGATGTGAACACTGCTTCTTCCTAGCTGTAAGTCCAGGGTTGCACCAGCCTGTTTTCATAAAGTTTTATCGGCAGCCAGGCCCTTCCACCTGGGTACCTTGGCGGGTGCTTTCATAGCCATAGTTGAGTGGCTGGGACGGAAACTATGTGGCCCACAGAGCTTAGATATTTACTCTCTGCTCCGTGAAGAAACAGCATGCTGACCCCCGACTCACCGTCCTTTCCCAGAGCGGCACGTAATGGCTCCCCCAGCTTGCAAGGTAGCAGTGTTAGCTCCTCCATTTTGCTGATGAGGCAGTGGAGCCTCAGAGAGGTTCAGCGACTCGCCCAGCGCCACCCAGCGAGGTGTGAGCGGAGCTGGGGCTGGAGCCAGGTCCTCCTCCCCAGCCACTCTTGTGCCACCGAGTGCTACCAGCCAGCCCTGGACTGTGGGCACACGGGGGCCTGCCCTCTCCTGACTCTTGTTCTTCCTGTCTTCCAGCTGCTTGCTACCTTTTTAATTCAGCTTGAAAGGAGGAAGGGAGTCCAGTCTTCAGGGATCATGCTCACCTTCTGGCTCATAGCCCTAGTGTGTGCCCTTGCCGTCTTGAGATCCAAAATCATGACTGCCTTTAGAGAGGTAAGTGTGGCCTCCTCCACGGCTGCCTTCATTGGCTCTCGGGAATGTGCTTGGGCCTTTGGCTGATAAGGAGATCACCTGTTGCTGTGGGTCCCATCTGGGTCCGACGTCTTCCCTGAGGATTTCCCAACCCCATCCAGCCTTTGTTCTGGAACCTTCTTTTCTTAGGGCGCCCTTGCCTCTGCAGCCCTGAGAATCCCATGTGGGTCCTAGGCGCTTGGGCAGATGCAGTCCACACGGTGAGCCTAGAGCAGCTGTACCCACGGGCCTCGCTGGCTCCAGATGTCTGCAGTCTGGCGTGGAGCAGGGAGCAGTGTTTGCAGAGCAGTTGCTGCCTGGGGATAAAGGAGCTGGCCCCCACATTACTTGGGTGCCTCAGCTACTGCTGCAGCCCAGCAAAGCCCCTGTGGTGCAGTGCCGGCATCTCTGCTGGGGCTGACAGCTGACCTTCACAAGATCGTGTTTTCTGTGTGCTGGGCAGGGGACCACGGGCTGGGCATGAATTGTCTTATTGAGGTCTCCCCATCACTCCAGCAGGGCTGTCCGCCTCAGCCCTGGCTGACATTTTGGGCTGGAGATGCCTTTGTTGGGGGACTGCCCTGCGCACTGGGGGGTGCTGGGGGCACAGGCTGCCTCCACCCCTTGGGCACCAGTGACCCTCCCCCATCCGAGTATGACAGACAGACACATCCCTACGATGTTCCCTGGGGGGCAGAGTCACCTCTGGCTGAGAGCCACAGGTCTGGTATAGGTGGGGAAACTGAGGAACAGAGAGGCTGCAACATGGACTCGGGTCCCTCAGCCAGGATGCACAGGGCCAGGCGGAGGCATGGGCCTGATTCACCCCACCCCCAGGGGGTGGGGCACCCTGTGTTGTCACCGCAGGGGGGATGCGCCCGTTCCCTGGGCCTCTGCGAGCTGCTTCCGGACCCTGATCTTTTCTGCTCCTCCCGCCCCTCTCATGCAGGACGCCCAGGTCAGCGTGTTTCGAGACGTCACGTTCTATATCTACTTTTCCCTCGTGCTGGTACAGCTTGTGTTGTCCTGTCTCTCGGACCGCTCTCCTCTGTTCTCTGAGACCATCAATGACCCCGTAAGTGTGACCCGAGAGTGACGTGATGTGTGTGTGAGAGTGTGTATGAGAGGCCCGGCCAGCTCGCGTCACTGGGATCTTGTTCTGAGCTGGCGGCGCCTCGTGGGTCCCCCCCACCCCCCAGCACCTGCAGGTAGACGGTGCCATCCTCCTCACCATGGTGTGGTGAGGGTCTGGGGCCTTGAGAAGGGCCTGCCGCTTAGGGGTAGTGGCGGCCTGCGGGCCTGCGGGTGTTCTCACTGTGTTGAAGGGTTTTTGGGAAAATGATTCACATTGTTGCTCCGGAGGCTTTATGTACATTCTCCCTGTCCCGCTTTTCTGGAGAAAGGAGCAGTTCTGGCGGCACTAGGTTGTTGCCTCGGTTGCAGTGGTTGGCCAGAATTTCTGGGTGTCGCCCTAGGTCTGCAGTCCCCGCCCTCCCCTGTACCTTGCACAGTCTCACTTCCCTCTGGTGGTGCTGCCTGGAGTTTGAGACTCCCCGCCTTTACTGGGAGCTTGAGAGCAACCTGGCGCACCCAGGTTTCGTAGGGCGGGTGGAGGTGGCCTCCCTTCCTGCCGAAAGAGTGAAGACACAGCTGTCTGCAACCTTTCCCCCCCTTGGCTTCCTTCCTTCCTCCCCGTTCTCTTCCTCTTCTCTCTCTTCCTTCCTCCCTCCGACCAGGTGCTAGGCCCAGCTGCACAGGCCTCAGCAACGAAGAAAGCAGAGTTGGTGTCTGAGGATTCTCTTGTCATGGAGCGACCAAACTCAGGCCCCAGAAACTCTGCAGCCAGGGTGGCTGCCACTGAGAAGGCGGGGAAGGGAGTGGAAACTGGCGGAGGCCACCAGGGAAGGCCCCTGTCCACCCCTCCATGAGGAATGGGGAGTGAGCTGGACAGACAGCTGGGAGATGAGCTTCCAGGCAGGGTGGTGGCAAGGGCAGTGGCCCTGGGCCTGAGCAGGCAGACAGTGAAGGGCCCGCAGGAAAGTGCTGAGGCTGGAGCCCTGACCTGCAGGGCTCAAGCGGGTTGAGGTGGGTCCCTAAGCCGGCAACAGATCTGCTTGGAGCTTTCTCCGAGTGGCAAAGGAAACCTGAGGAACAAGTATCGCTGCTTTGTCCCTCACTGGCCAGC